GTAAAAGTTGGCGTTTCCTCACATAAAACACGTGTAGTCAAAATTTCAAAGTACTAACGAGAGAGCCGGTGCTGTTAAGTTGCTCAGGGATGTGCGTTAAAGCAAATACAAGCCTCCACGAGATCGCACATCCGGTTTCAACATCACCTCGCATCACACCTGCAGCCTCGCTGATGCGCATCTGGTATTTTTACGACATGTTCAAAACTGTTGACAAAGTTGTGCGTGCCAAAATGAATCAAGTGCTCCTTACTTTGTAAGATATGTTTGTATTTAACTAGTGTGAAGAATTATACCAAAGAAATAAACAGTTTATTTGGATGAAGTGGCGCCGTGAGTCTTGTTTACTAACCCCACTGTTAGAAAAGAACGGACACGAAAATCCATTTATGGGCTTTCGGCTCAACACTCATCTCTTCTGTTTTGAACTGGGAGGAGCTCATGTTTGAAATCGGCTTAACCTTGGCTTTACTGCCACCTGCTGGTGAATATAAGCTTATGCATGCTTCTGTTTGCCTGCATCATGCTGCTATTCCTCAGTAAAAAAATCTAATTGCCACTTAGTGGCTACAGCACGGTCAGTGTTGCACCCATCATGTCAACTCATAATCACCGCGATGCTATTTTTACCTCATTTTCTTTGTCCAATCTGTATTTATGTCTACAAACTTCTAAACAAGCAATTATGAAGACAAAACTCATTGTGTGAAAGCGCCTGAGATCAGCGGAGAGCGAGGGTTTCAGACAACTGTCGGATCAGTCTCATCACTTCCTCCAGAGACGCAACACCCACTGCCAGCCTGTCGTCCTTTGTTGTCACGAGATAATTAAAATGTCAAGCCTGTTTATTACAAAGCTGAATTGGGCTAATATGGCTTTGTATTCAATTAGTAGCCCACAGAGTCCTGCAATGTAGCAAAATATTTCCTAAAACAATAGATTTGATTGGTGGTCTCCGTTTTCAAATAATATGGTCGTTTTGTGTCTAATACACCTGCAGTTTTCTGTTCCTTGTGACATTTGAGATTATCTCCTTGTTATGGATACAATAACACCTCGGTGTGTCTCTCCGGGCTTTGGAAGTGGATTGGAATTGTCTCCACGGACAAATGATGCTGGTCTCTCCCCAGGCAAAGGTGTCGAGTGTGTGAACACCCCCCTGCTATGCTTTGTGTGCTGCGTGTGATATGCTTCCCAATCTTCCTTTGCGTGTGAGAGCAGCCCCCTGGGGCCCTGGCAGGAGGACAGGAGGAGGAGCTTGGCCACTCAGGTACAGGTGAAGCGTTTGCTGTCAGAAGCAAACATTCGAAGCGTGACTGTGAACATGAACGCGATCCGGACCCTAGCTGTTTGTTTGAAAGTTCTGAGTTTTGCCGTTTCTGGTCGGACGCAGAATTCATCCGGGTAAGTGGTGGAATTTGGTATGAAGGGAGTCGCGTTCGTTTCCTGAACGAGAACGCCTGCATTCGTGAATGAGTTGATGGCGCACAACCACCGTTCATCAGTAACGCACCTTTCTTTCCTCTGTGCCAGTGCTACGTTGTATCTGATCTCAGGTCCAGAGGTGGTGCACGCTGGCACGCCGACTCCTCTGGCCGTCACCGTGTTCGGAGACTTCCCGGGCACGGTGACGGCTGAACTGGGACGTGGAAGCACCAAAGTATCGCTGACCGAAAACTTCCAAGAAGGTGATGTGCAGTCACAAGCCGACTCAAGCTTGAATTAGTTTCTTTTAACTTTCGGGAGGGTTAAAAGGTCATTCTGTTTTAAAGGTTTGACGAGAGTCCTCACGCTTCCTCCTGTAAGTATAGTTTTTATTTCTTCTCACGGCAGTCGAGGGAAGAACA